TTGCTTGTGCAAAGATAGCCTCAAGTTTTGGCTATCGAATGGTGAAAACCTCAAGTCTCTATCTTTATTTGATGCTGAGTTACTCAAAAAATGACTACTGCTCTTGTATTTTAGAACCGATAGTAGTAGCTTAGTACTCAATTTGTGATCTGTGATTACAAGATAACTGACGTTTCAGTCGCAAATGATGATTGAGCAAATGAATCTGTAGAATTGTTTTGCTTATGACTTGAATAGAAAGGCAAAACTATATGAGTTATCAACTCTCTTTGAACAAAAACTATTTTTTATAGCTAAACTAAATCTTTTTATTTATTGGAAAACGATGAACACTATCACATTTTAGATAAATACGCTGGTATTTTTCAGTAAATTTTTAATTTTTGTATGTTCCGTATCTGAAAATAGATTGTTATACAAATAAACTTCACTTAAGTGTTGTATACCAGTTAAAAGTTCAGTAGATAAATGTGACAAATAATTATCGCTTAAATTAAGCTCAGTTAACGAGACTAAATTTTCTATTTCTTCTGGTATAGTGCATAGTTGATTTCCTCTTAAATCCAATGATTTTAATGTTTTTAATATACCAAGACCAGATAATGATGAAATTGAATTGTAAGACATGAATAAATATTCTAATTTATATAATAATAGTATTTCTCGTGGTATTTGTTGAAATTTATTTGAACCTAAATGTAACCAATGTAATTTTTGTAAATGAATAAATGTTAATGGCAATGATACTAATGAATTCCCACTTAAATCTAATGTAGTCAATGAATAGAGTTGTGTTATAAAATTTGGTACATATTTTAAATTACAACCACGTAATTGTAGACCTTGTAAACGCGGTATATTTCGAATATTTGCACTAATAGATGTTAACGGATTAAAATTTAAATCTAAATGTTTTAAACGAGTTAAACCTGCAATTGTATCCCAGAATACTGTTATTTTATTATTATATAGATACAACGTTTCTAATACGGTTAAATCTCGAATAAATGTGGGAATTTTTGTTATACTAGAATATTCGACTGTCAAAGATATTAAATTTGTTAAATGTTTCATATCATCGGGAAGTGTTCTTAAAAGTGGACATGAATGAATTTTTAATATTTTTAATAGACGAAGTTGACCTATTTCATTTGGAATTGATGATAATACTTGATTATATCCAATTTCAAGTTCAATTAATTTATTTAAATTTTTAATTTCTGATGATATTGTTGTATCTACGAAATTAATTATCAATTTTTCTAACGATATTAAACAATAAATATTTGATGAAAATTGTTTCTCATGATTTATATAGAAAATATTAATTTCATTTTGAGAATTTATTGTAGCATGTGTTTTTGATGCTAAATTTGATGATAAATTGTATGATACATTCAAAAATGGTAACGAATTGATAATATCTATATGAGATTTAAATAATGTACAGTTTGGTTGAACAATTTTTTTACATGAATTAGAATTATTAACGATTCGTTTGGTAAACTTTTGTTCTATCATCTGATTATGACGAACATCACCTAGAACAAACAAATTACATGATATTCAAATAAGTAGTAGTTTAGTATTGTGTGTGTATCATTGAATTCAGTAAAACATACAAAACCTGATTCAGGCATTGTGCAAATAAGACGTATATATACAATTCTTTTCTCTTTTTATATACTATATATATAAAGACTGTTGTCTTTTTCGTAAATCTCGATTTTCTCAGCCATTTTTCAAATGATAAAAGGGAATTTTAGATTCCGGGATAGAAGAGACAATTCTCTATCCAACTATGTAAAAACTTTTCAAAACTAATTTAGTTTAACTTAGTTACAATGATAAAAAGATTCAAATATACGGCGTTCTTTACACCCTCGAAGAAAAAAAGTTTTTTGACGGACAAAATTAAAATTTTTTAAAAGCAAAATATATAGAATGTTCCTCTGATAATGAGGAATCGAATGGTACTATTTTATCGGAAACAGATCGCGCTTTCACCTTCGTCTTCGCCACAGAGCAAATTGAATGGTCTGCCATAAATACGAACTGTTCTCAAATATGACAGTCAAGCGATTTTTTTGTTGCTGTTTATGGCGGCGGCTTCATTCAAATGCGTTTTTATCTATCGTCAGAAAAAAAAGTTGTAACTGCTACCCGAAGTAAAAAAATCACGATATGCTCTTGTAATAAAAAATGTTCTTCTAACTAAGGGCTACCCGCACGTATAAAGTGAGCCTAAACTGATCAACTTTACTATCGAAAAAGCCTACTATAACTTTCCGCTTATTTTCGCACGGCAAAATTAACTGTTACTATAGTTTTATGCAGTTTGATCTGCTCACAAATTTTGCGAAATAAACTATTTTGAGATGAAGTTCAAAGCTGTATTGCGTGTGTTTTTAACAAGAATGATGCTTACGGATAGGAAGAGTTTAAGGTTTGCTTACTGATGCGTATGCTTTAGATAATTAATGTTTCGAAAATGTAAAATGAAAATTCAATGATAAGGAAATGAAAATTACCAGTAAAAGAAACATTCTAAAGCTGCCTTCAAATCTGTTGTATAATTCTGATCTCAGAAAACTTCCAGTATCAATAAATAATGCTGATACTAAGCGATACGGTTACACTTTTTGCCGTGCGAAAATAAGCGGAAAGTTATAGCAGGCTTTTTCGATAGTAAAGTTCATCTGTTTAGGCTCACTTTATATGTGCGGGTAGTCCTTAGTTAGAAGAACATTAACATAAAAATAGGACCATTCGATTCTTCGTTATCGAAGGAACATTTCTATATATTTTGCTTTTAAAAAATTTTAATTTTGTCCGTCAAAAAACTTTTTTTCTTCGAGGGTGTAAAGAACGCCGTATATTTGAATCTTTTTATCATTGTAATTAAGTTAAACTAAATTAGTTTTGAAAAGTTTTTACATAGTTGGATAGAGAATTGTCTCCTCTATCCCGGGATCTAAAATTCCCTTTTATCATTTAAAAATAGCTGAGAAAATCGAGATTTACGAAAAACATAACAGTCTTTATATATATGTGACAGTGGAAATTGGAATTCAGGGGAATTCGGAATTCCACTAGTGGAAATTGGAATTCTAATCTCCACTAGTGCAAATTAGAATAAAGTGACTATTCTAATTTCAACTAGTGGAAATTG